AAGTGCGTGGAGGAGACAGGAGCCTTCTTCGAGCCTACCCTGGCTGCCTTGTTTGTCCGTGAGGCCTTCAGCCCAAGCACCCGAAGTGCTGTATGTGAGGGCTCTTCCCCAGCCCATGTCCCTCCACCCCTTCCCACTCGGTCATTCTCTCTAATTCTATTAACTGTGTCTTCTCGATGGTCTGGATGGTCAGGGTGTCAGGCAGTCAGAGAGGGAGAGAGCACTGTGAGAGAGAAGCCAAAGGAGGCCATGCTGCATCCCTAGGGTTTGCATTGCTTCATTGCGGGACACAAGTTGTGCATAATATGCAGGGAATTTGGACAAGTTACCTAACTTTCCTGCCCTTGTGTTTCTCCAACCATAAAATGAGAAAATTGCACTCCATGGCCTCTAAGGCTACTCCCTGTTTATCTACGACTTTTTTTTAACAGCGCGGGAAACAACATGAAAATGGAATGATATAATCTTAAAAAGTGCAAGTAAATGAGTACTGAGTAGTCTTTGAGTGCCTACCATGTGGCTGATACCCTTGTAAACACTTTGCATGAAGTACCTTAATGCCTAGTATTATCCTAATTTTAGAGGAGAGAGAACTGAAGCATAGAGAGGTTAAGTAACTTGCCCAAGGTCACACAGCTATGGAACAGTAGAGTCAGGATTTGAGTTCAGGCTTCTGATAACATCATCCATTTACCTCTATCGAGAATGTACACAAACAAGATGGTAGATGGCTGGGGAAGTAGTAACTACACAGTCCGTTATGAAGCTGGGAAGACTTCAGCTTGTTGGAAAGCTGAAATGCCCAGGAAGATGGAGAGAGGAGATGCAGGCCTTGATAAAGAGAGTGTGAGGACAAGAGCCCTTAAGGGCAGAGAAGGGAATGATGGTCCTCTTCCTCTTTCTGTTTTTTGAGTGGATTGGCTGGCCAAGGGTAAGGATGGCGTCTCCCTCCCCCAGAAGGCTGAGATCTCCCTGCAGAAAGGAACGGCCTCCCCTGTTGACTCTCAGAAGTGACCAGCTCCCACCTTCCCTTTCTGTGCTTGGCACCTCTTGCTTGGTCTCTGCAGATCTCTGTGCTCTGGGTTTCTGGTCTCCTAGTAAACATTACTTTCTACTCTCTTTCTCGGAGATCTTTCCTCTTCTCTGGTAACTTCTTGGGGCCAAGGCCCTTCCTAGCGGCCCAGTAGGCAGGACCCCAGACCAAGGCTGACCCTGATCCTGTTCCTCTGTCCCGGCCCCTTCACAGGCCATGGAACTATTCACTGCAATCAAGGATGCCCTCATCAGTCGCCTCAGAAGGATTCCCTGGATGGATGAGAAGACCCGGAAAGAGGCCCAGAACAGGGTAAGTACCGGAGTGAGAGACAGGAGTAAGCAGGGGTGGAACTGGGTATTGGATCCAGAGATCACACTGGTGGGAGGAGAGTGCAGAGGCCCAAGGACACATGGCAAGTGTAAGCACCAATATGCCACACACATACCCTGGTGAGGATATAAAAGGTGGGACCAGGGCAGTGAACATGAGAGATTTCCTCTGATAGACTTGGGGTAGCTAGGTTTCTTCTACCTTTTGTGTCTCTCCCCAGGTAACCCAACTGCAGGTGAAGATGGGGGCCCCAGAATGGGTCCTGGAGCCATCACTGGCCAGACAGGAATACAAGGATGTGGGTCCCTGCCCTTGCCAGCTCCTCATTAGTCCTCAGCTCCTTCTCAGCCCCCTGACCAGCCTGAGTGGCAGACAATCTGTTTACCTTGGGTGATTCTAACTGACCCCTTCCTTGCCTTGGTGTCGGCTGGGTTTTATGGGTGAATATCCACACTGTGGGTCTTACCAGCAGAAGAACAGAACCTTTCAGGTCACAATGAGTGTGTGTGCGTGTGTACACATGCACTCTTGTGACTTGCCTGAGTGTGTTTATCTGTGCGCTGATTCGTGTGAAGCCTGTCTACACCGACATATGGCGGTGTCATTGTGCTGCTTTCCACTTTACTATGGGCGCCTGTATGTCGGGCTTATCCGTCGGTGTTCAGATGTACCCAGCAGGGTATGTCAGTGTGCATCCGTATTTGTGTGTCCGAGTCACCTCCTGCCTTCTCCCAGATACAGCTTGGACCCAACTACCTGCAGTCCTTCCTGAGCTGTGTCCGATCCCTCCGAGCCAGAATTGTCCAGAGCTTCTTGCCGTCTTTCCTCTACCACAGGTATAAGAGCAAGGGAGACACAGACTGCATCTCAGAGATGTCCATCCGTTCAAGATTAGCCGGAGAGAAAGCTGGAGGCTTGGGGAAGCAGGAACAGTGACAGTAGTTGAGAGGGACTTCATATCTCTGGTGGCCGGGACCATAAATGATGGAGCTGGTATTCATATGTGCTCTTCCCATAGGTGGCAGGTGTCCCCCTGGGGGGTCAATGCTTACTATTCAATATCTGACCATGTGGTGGTCTTCCCAGCTGGACTCCTCCAACCTCCATTCTTCCACCCTGGCTACCCCAGGTAGGGGCCATTCCCTGACGGGGGGTGGGGGGCAGGGGATTTCCCAAGTGTATGAGCAGATGTTATGATGGATGGGACTTGTGGTTGGAGAATTGGGGTCAAAAACGTTGAAGGACTTTGGGAGTAAGACAAACGTTTGTCTCCCTAGAGCCGTGAACTTTGGAGCTGCTGGCAGCATCATGGCCCACGAGCTGTTGCACATCTTCCACCAGCTCTGTGGGTAACAATGGGCCATTGGGAGGTGGGGCCATTGGGAACCCAGGGGAAGGCCCCAAAAGAGGCCAAGAGGAGGCGAAAGGGAGGGCTCCGGGTGGGAAGGTTCTGAATCCTTTGCAATGCTTCTGGGGGCAGTGCAGCCTGTGGTCTCCCCTTGTCCTCATCCCTACCCCAGGACTCTGGCTGTTTCTTTACCTGACTCTGTTTTCAACAGTACTCCCTCGGGGCTGCCCAGCCTGTGACACCCGTGCCCTACAGGGGGCGCTGCTGTGCCTGAAACGCCACTATGCGGCCATTCCGTTACCCAGTGGAACCTCCTTCAATGAATCTCAGACGTTCCTGGAGAATGCTGCCGACGCTGGGGGGCTGGCCATTGCACTGCAGGTGACTCCCATCCCAGGGGCCAGGATCTACCATTCCTCATGCAAACAGATGGGGATCTTTTCTCCCCCACAGATCCCTCTTTTCTAGGATATCCATAAATCTCACAAGTACATCCTTCCCCGGCTTAGCCCAGTGTGTCTGTGCAGAACTTGGGCAAAAGGGACACGAACAGGTTTTGGGTATTGCGTGGGGGGCATCAGACTTCCAAACGGCGGTGCGCCTGGAATCTGAGGGCTCCTCGCCATCCTGCCCCCATGTCCAGGCATACAGCAAGAGGCTGTTGTGGCACCGTGGGGAAACCGTCCTGCCCAACCTGGACCTCAGCCCTCAGCAACTCTTCTTCCGAAGCTACGCCCAGGTAGGCAGCCGCCACCTCTCCCCACGGCCTGCTTCACGTCAGATAAGTACCCTACTGATCATGCTTAAAGAATGGCTCCTCCCTGAAACTCCTTCCCCCAAAGGGTCCCAACCCTCTGCCACAGATGTCCCCACTGTCATCTTTTCATACATGCCACTTGGGACCATCTTTTCATATTACTATACATTCTTCTACCAAATTCGACACCCTCTTCAAATAAAACTCCACTGCCAAATCCCTCTCTGGGATGAGCCCAGCTCAAATGAGCCTTCAACAGACTGTCTATAGACCACATTCCTTGTCGGAGACCTCGCCCCAGTTGTCGTCCCCACCTGACATAGTGCCCTAAGTACCATGTGCTCCCTCAACAGACATTGCCCCCACTTCCTCAGGATGCTCAAAGGTCCCCTTACAGAGTTTTTTCAACAAACCCCACCTCTCAGTCACTTACAAATGGTCCGATCGCACAACCCCGGCCCTTCCTTGCACACCTCCTGCCAGAATAAGTGACCTACAAATGTGTTGTCCTACCCCTGCTCTCATCTCTGCCTGCTGTCCCTAGTCACCGCCTTGACACCAGATCTGCCTTGTGCCAAGGCACTGACCCCGATCTACCCTACGATTCTGCTCTTCTCCTTACCCTGTGTGTACCTCTCTTCCTCCACAGGCGATGTGTAGGGAGCCGGGCACCCAGGAGCCTCATGATCCTCACAGCCCTCCCACCCTTCGAGTCCATGGGCCCCTCAGCAACACCCCTGCCTTTGCCAGACATTTCCACTGTCCACGCGGTGCCCTCATGAACCCCTCCAGCCGCTGCCAACTCTGGTAACCTGGCTACCATAGAGACTTCACTTCAGATGTCACAACATCTCCCTGCTCCATCCATGGAATCAGGCGATAATCTCCTTTCCCCATCCCTTCCAAAAATAAAAGCTGGCACATGGCATAGGTCTGTCCATTAATGACTCTTTCCTGACATGTTCAATGCCTTGAAGTCAGAAAACATAAAAGAAAAGGCCAAGAGAGTTCTAGAGACATAGGAAGAGGAAAGGACTGATGACTGGTGAACTAGTGGGTCTAAAGGTCAGTGGGCCACAGGTCTGGCGGTCACAGGGACCAGTTAAGAGACAAAAGGGCTTTGGTTAGGTCTCAGAAAGCTGCCCCCAAGTGTTTTCAGGATTTTATTGCTGTTACTCTTATCGTTGCTGCCCTCTTCCCCTAACATGCTGTCTCGAGCAGAGCCAGGAGAGGCTAGGGAGAGAGAAGGGGTGTGGGGTCTGGTATCTCCAGCCCTGGGAGATGGCACTCAGAGGGTGGGGAGGCAGTCAGGCTGTGGCGATGGGCTGTTGAAAGGGTCTGTCCCTTTGCTGCATCCTGAGGTGAAGAGCTACTGGCCAGAGGCAGGAAGCCATATATATGTATACCACTCTTGGGAGTAGTGGCGTGGAGTCTAGTGGGGAGAGAGGGTCAGTAAGCTATCATGAAGCGGAGGTAGATATCCAGGTCCTCATCTAGAAACCAGGCCACCACCTCAGCCTCAATGTCCCTCATAAAAAAACCATGATGCTGGCCAGATTGAAGCAGAAGGCAAGGTCAAATAGGTGGTCACGAAGAGCTGCTGTGTCTGACGTCTTGTCATCCTCTTGCTGGGCCATGTCCACAACCTGCCACATCTCACCCACTGAGGAGGCCACAAAGTGCTCTTCAAGGTGATCTTCGTCCTGGTCTGGAACAGGGGAGAGGGGAAGGTTCTGAGAAGGTTGATCCTAACATGCTCCCCCCCTCCCCGCCACCAATCCGCACCTGTATCAGGAGGAGGACAGAGTTGGAGAATCTGGGAAGAAGTTACGGCCTGGGGCTTTTAGTCCACTTGCACCTACCCTGTCCTGTTACTCCATTAGAGTCTCTTCTTATGTGTATTCAATCACAGCACACCCGTTCCCCACCATTTCCACCTCAAACTGCCTCCTCCAAAGCACTACACCATTTGGGGATGGAGGGACTGGCTTCGAGAAGGATGGAAACCAGAGTCTCTTCCCAGACAAATGCACCTGTGCCCATACACAAAGGACATGTGCACTTTCAGCTAGCCTGTGGTGTGCCCCTGAATATGGCCCTGGCTAAGAACCTTGCCCTAAACCCTTCACCTGACTCATTCACACTACGATAATAGGGGACTGGGCTTCTCTCCAACAACCCAAACCTATCTCAGGTTTCACACGGGCCTGATAAGTAGTGGGGGGCTGACTCCAGAGATCTGACCCCTCATTTCAGATGCTATCTTCTCTTCTCTACCTACCTGTAGAGGGTATCTCCTCAGTCTGACTCTTCTCATTGGAGTCCAGGCTGCCTTTCTGAGGCTTCACCACCTTGACCCGCAGCAGCAGCAGGATGGCTGCCAGGAATGCTGCCCTGCAGAGCTGGGAGCCCAGGGAAGTCATGGGCCTGCCCATCTGCTGTCTTTGGCCCCCCCCAACTCCCCAGTGCCCAGCTGGCTCCCCCACCTTCCTCCCCTGTCCCTGTCCCAACCCTTACCACTTCCCAGCACCGTTTTCTTCCCTTGCCTTCCATGGGACCTCTGACTTCATGTGCTTTGTGACATCATAACCATGGGCCTGCTCCTCGTTCAGGTCATTAGAGAGTTCCATTGCCAGGCAAGAAAGTGGTGATTAGCCAACAGTGGATAGCAGAAGCTTCTAGAATGATCATAGTGGGTCATCCTGTGGAGGGCAACCAAATGACCAAAGAGTTTCCAAAGTCCTTTCACATTGATTATGTCATGAGATCCACACAGTAACAGGGACTCAAAGTTGTAGGATCATCATACCTATTATATAGATGAGGAAACCGAGCTTCATAAAAGACACAACTCTTGTCCTTAACATCACCCAGACAATAAAGGGCAGAGCAGGACCCTTGACCAACTTTTTTGATTCTAGACATCACATCTTCTTCTCTTCCATGCGGCCTTTCTCTAAAGAAAATTGGCTTGTATAGGATGAGACCCAGAGCAGATATTCTTCTCTTTAGAGAAGAACCAGTGTGGCAGAGGGATGAGGAGCCCAAATAACAGATCTAGAGAAACCTGCTTCAGTGTCCCAAGGCCCACGATGCCCATGAACCTGATGAGCACAGACCTGTCGGCAGTAATAGGCTGTGGCTAATTATCTACTTCCTGGAGCAGAGATGGTTGGGATGGGATGACATGAGGTGGGGTGGGGGTGGGATGAAGACCTGCCTGGACAACCAGAAATCAGCGTATACCATGAGACACAGGAGGGGATCTGGGGAAGATGGGGGGAGATTGTGGGTACACCTGAGCTATCACAACCAGCTCACACCATTCCTGGAGCCCATCCCATGCCTGAGTGAACTACCAAATGCAGGGGCAGGACCATGGACCCTTTCTGGAAGAGAGAATTGCAGACATGGAAGTGCAAGTGGAGACTCTTTCCCACAGATGGAGCCCTGCTAGCAGATGTACACACCTGGAGGCTCCCCTCCGACAGTCGTACTACCTCTTGTAAACTTCCTGCTGGTCCAGTCCAGGTGACCGGAGAGTGGTACAGGAGGTCACTTGATGGTGGGGGAAGAAAGATTCAAGTAAGCAAGTGACCCTGCTCACCCCTACCTTGCACTCATTGACCTTCAGGTCCAGGAAACAATGCTTGGGTGGAAAAAAAAATCACTAATCTGGTTACTTTGGGGGAGGAGCCTCTTGGTTCCTAGCAAAAGAGAAGCCATCTCAGGCTCTGTGCATATGGGTGGGGAGGGCACCTGGGGATGGGGCAGGCTGATGTGGAAAGAACTGGGTTGTACTGACCACCATTCCTTGCATTTCATTTTTTTTAATTACAAAAGTATTTAAAAAGTATAAAAAGCAAAAAGGGATAATATTTCTACCATTCAGTGAAAATCATTATTAATGTTTTAAAGTGTAGTATTCAGACCCTTTCCCGACATGGCTGTGGAGTGGGAGAGTATTTCCTAAAAAATAAGATCATAATAGGTCATGCTTTGGCACCAAGGGGACTTGACAGTGTAGTGAGGTGCTCCTGGGCCCCCGGGGCCGTGATCACTGCACGGATGCTGCTACCTGAGGGAGAGTGGTCCTAGGTGTTTGTGTCTGCGGAAGGCTGAGAGGGCATGAAAAAGGAGGGAGAAATAGGGTTATGTGAAGGATATGCCAAGGGAGGAGGAGTGAGGGGAAGAAGCCACAGGAAAGCAGGAAATTCCTTAAAGATTAGGCCCCACAGTTGACCCTTAAGTGACATGGGGTTAGGAGCACTGACCCCCCCCCTCACTCCCAACACAGTCAAAACTCCCAGTGAAACTTTTGACTCCCCCAAACGTAACTACTAATAGCCTACTGTTGACCACAAGCCTTACCAATAACATAAAATGTCAAATAACACAGATTTTGTGTGCTCTCTGCATTATATATTGTATTTTTATAGTAAAGTACGCTAGAGAAAAATTTTAAGAAAATCATATGGAAGAGAAAATATGTTTACAGTATTGCACCATATTTATCAAAAACTATCCCCATAGAAGCAGCCTGTGCAGTGGGCCTGGGCAGGTGAGCGGGTGGAGACCCAGAGGTGGGGACCTGTTCCTGGGCCCCCCTCTCTCCCCCCACCCTGGACCCAAGGACAGAGCCCTTGGTGGAGAGCCCCTGCACACCTGCTCTGTGCGGCTCTGACCGGGCGAGCCCCTCCCTGCCCCCGTTGCCTCCAGGATTAGCTTTATGGGTTGAGTATTGCCTCGGCAGGCAGGTGCTCCTTCCTCTGCCAGCCCCCGCTTATCAGCGCATCTACAACCCCCACCTCAAGCTTATCGCTTCGTCCATCTCCTTAGACTGGAAGTCCCAAGGCTTCAGAGGCCATTACCACCCCACACTGCCCCAACCCCCAGCAAAGCAGAAAACTGCCCTACAAGGTGACCGCCTCCCCGTTCCTGGCTGGCACCGCCCCATTCCCTGGGTGAGAGCATGCTTCCCCCTTGTCTCTGGCATCTCCTCCTTTCCTTATTTGTCTTCTTTCCAATTCTCTTTCTTTAAAGGTCGTTTTGTCCATCCTTCAACCTTACATTAAAAGAAGGGGGAGTCCTCTGCTCCTGAAGACCCCCCAAGGGGGAAGGTCCCTAGCCTGAGTCCTCCCAAGTCTCTCACATTTGTATAGGCAGAAGGTTCCCGAGAAACAAGTGGTGGCAGGTGATTTGGAGCTAAATTTCCAACTTTAATCCAGTTCTAGTTTTGCTAGAAGCCACAGGACATCACCCTCCCTCTCTATGCTCTGTCTCCTCATTAAAATATAAAGAGAGCCCCCAGCCTATTCCTGTGTACCTCGTTGGCCTCCTAAATGACTCCAATTCAATAACACGTATTTATCAGAAGAGAACTAGAACGCATCCTATCCGAAAACACGGCAATGAGGTCATCTGTCCTCAGTCGTCCTGCCTACTCATTCCTGGAGGGAGTCCCAAGGTTTCTCTGTCCACCACCTTGGCTCGGCTCCTATTGCTCCCCCTCTGGGGTCTTCCCTGACCAGGGATCCACAAAGCTGGGAGGGAAGACGAGTCTCTCAGCGGCGGGTGGACTGGAAGCCCCCGGGAGGGAGGCCGGCTGTAGGGTTGAGGACCCAGACAACCACAACACAGCGAAGCAGCCGGCCTTTCAGGGCTTGGAGCTTATCTGTGGAAGGAGACCCAAGCTCAGCTCTTAGGGCCGTGCTTTTAAGGACACTTCCAGGAGACAGTACAACTATTGGCCCGATTCTACAGATTGGAAGATCGAGGCCCAGAAAGCTCACCTAACTTATCTGTAAGGGCGAGAGCCAGAATTCAAAGCAGAACCTGTCGGATTGCTGAGCTGACGGGCTTCACTTTCCTACCGTCCGGTATCCCAGTAAGTGCTCACCTTGCTTGTGGGGCCCACCTTCTGGGCTCCATCCTTGCTCCCCCTCTATATTCTGGTGCCTCACTCTCCTGCACCTTCCCCTGTCTCAGCTGTGGCCCCAGCCCACTGCCAGGAATGAAGTTCCCTCCCCTGGCCCCTCCCAGCTCTAGGGCAGGTTCTGAGCCCCAGGGGCTCTCTAGAAAGAGCTCCTCCTCCTCTAGGTAAAGCTGCTTTCTCCTGGCAGGGCCCCTACTCCCCTCAGTGCCTGCAGGCGTGTGCATATTTGCACACACACACACACACACATCCCACGAGCTGCACGCTGCATACACAAGTCACAGGGCAGATAGACTCACTCTCACTCCCAACTCCACATAGACTCCGCCTCCTCCTGGATTGAGGAGTCCCAGACGAGCTCCTTTTACCACATTCCCTAACCTGCCAGCACCTGAAAGGAGAAGATATGGGGGCTCCTCTTCCTAAGGCAGAAGGACCCTGGGTCCAACTCCAGAAACTTCTGGCCTCCTGGCTGGTCAGAGAGCAAGACTGGGATCAGCACGTGGATGAGGCCCACATGCTGCAACAGAAGAGGTAGGCTGCCCCAGTCATGCTGCATCCCACCCCTCACGGAGCTCCCAGCCCTCTGATCGGATCCACCCAGGGCGGATCTCCCCCTTGGAGCCACCCAGCATTCAAGGCCAGGCACTTGGGTGTACCCAGCCCACCTGTTACAGACCCCAGCTGCCTTTTTGTGTGGGTCGGAGGGGACTCCACGTAGATTCAGAGCCAGGGACAAAATGACACCGTGACCCTCACCTGCCTGCCTGGTGGTGGAGGGGTGTGGGGGACAGAATGGAAGCAGGGAGATAGGCAGGTGCAGGCCGATGGGCAACAAGTGACTGGGGGGAAGGCATGAGATCCCGTAGGTTTTTGAAGACTTGATGCCTGGAGAAAGAGTGAGGAATTCCCATTAGTATGAATGAAAGTTGACTGTGCGCAAAAGGGGAGGAGAGCTGTTTTGTAGGCCGCCTGGAGCAGACCGGCTGATAAGGGAGACTCGGTTTATCTAAACCTTTTATTGAGACACTAATGTGTATAGGCCTTATCCCAAGGATACAGAGATTGAAGGAGGCCCCTGCCTGCCCCCTGGTACCCCCGGGGACGGGTCATTTCCTGGAAAAATGGCCACCTCAGGGGCCCATCCTGCAGGTGGGCCTCTGCCTCAGAGCATTTGGGGAGCTTGTCACCCATCAGAGCTGCCTAGGGATTGAGTGAGTGAGCAGACTTCAGCAGGTCTGGGGTCCAGCCAGGCCAGCTTTGCAGGCAGGTGGCCTTTGGCAAAGCCCTGCACTTAGTTTAATGTGCTGCTGTTGTCGGCTCGAAATGCTTAATTTTTGAACAAGGAGTCCTGCATTTTCATTTTGCACTTTTCCTCACAGATTGTGCTGCCGACCCTGGGTACAATCTGAGCCCTCATTTGGGAAAGGCTCTTTGCTTGCTTACCTACCCCCAATCCCAGGCCCCGTGAGGGAACCTTTGGCCTCTCCACTTCCCTCCGAACTTCGGGGTGAGAGTAAGGCAGTCTTCCAGAGAGAGCTGGGTTCTGGACCTCCCCCTCCGCCGAGGGCAGTGGGCTAAGAGGCCTGGGTGCTAAGGCTCTGTGTGGCGCCCCCCCCAATAGGGTGTGAGTCTTAGCCCTGGTCGCCCTGCGCTAGGTGTACTCCCAGGAGGTGAGATGGGGAAGGGGCTGGC